TTTTTTTTAATCTAATTTTAGGTTAATTCCTCCAATTTACAAGTTTTTTCTCTTCTAAACTTTTAATTTCACCTTATGTTATGCCCTACTTGCTTTCTTTTCTGTTATAATTTTATTGTTTTTTTGTTGTTGTTTTTTTTAGCTATGAGTGACATAATACAGTGTAAATATGTTTAGTATGAGGTTTAAATACTGCTTTTGACTTCTCATTTTAACCCATTTCTCTCTGGAGCTGAGAGTTTCTTTGAATTCTCCTCTCATTCATCCAGCATTTTAAACTGAACAGGACTTTGTTTGAGCTAATTTTCCAGTATTTGATTTCTAATAATCTTTAAATCTGTTAACAATCTGTTGTTTTGTAATTTAGTTGTTGAAATTAAATTTAAACTGTGCCGACAAAAGATTCATCTCACCGTCTCAAAAAGAATGGATCATTTCTATCCTCATGCTAACTTTCAGGGACCTCGATGCCAGAAGTCCTCACTCCCTTAACCTGCTAAATGGGGTATTGAGGCTGCAAGACTGCTTCCTCCAGGTGGTACCTGACACTTCTGACAATCGCTGTCCTCAGAAAAAATTAGCCAAGGAGAATCCTGCCGACAATGCCAAATTGTTGTGGGAAAAAAGTTTTCAACTATTCATCCTAGTTAAATAAACGGAGATCGATGGATTTCACTCAGTTGGCACATTTATTCATATCTTTGCAAAGAGAGAAAAGTCATCATGAAGCCCTTATGGCATAGCATTCGGCTCTGTTCTGATCTGGGCAGGGTTCGTTGTCATGATGGGTTTTGGTTGCTTGCCCACATGCAGAACACAACCGGAGACAGGGGAAAAAGTTCAAAAGGTTTATTGAAAAAACACTGGTTGAACACAGAACTGATACTGGGGTAATCTGGTCCAGGACTAGTCACGACTGATTTTCACTGTTCTGAGGTTTGAGCAGAGTGGCAGAGGGGGAAACCTGAAGGGTCCAGAGGCAGACGGCAGGCTGAGGGCTGACAGGTTTGATTTTCCAGGGTTCTTCCCCAATCAGACAGACTAGTTTCTGACAGAGAAACTCTTCCTGAGTCTTTGGTTTCAGACAGGTTCTTCCATAACTGGCAAAACACTCTGGCGCCGGGGTGTTGTCCACAGCCCACTTAAGTACTGGTCCCCTGATGAGCAGATGGGAAGCAGCTGGTGAAGTCAGCTCCAGCTTCAGGAGATTCAGTACGCCCTCTGGTGGAGGAAGGTAGACAGCACCCCAGATCCCCACAGAAGTAAAAACAATCAGGAAGGGATCCTCGGCGCCCTCTGGTGGGCAAGCCTCTGGATCCCAACATTCGTCCCCCTTTACTTACAACAATGGAAAGTAGTCACAGTCAAAACAAATTACA